ATTACATCTGTTTTGTTTTTGTCTCTTTTCATATCTGTCTTAAAGTCCGGATTAGTTTCTCTGTTAAGTGTAGATCTGATTCAGTATTTTATTAGCTTTCATTTCATAGTTAAGATTCGTAACATACATTATTAGGTTTCTCATTATTCAACCATTTGCTCTAAGACAAGATGCGATTCAACATGTTAAAGTAGCTGAATATTGGAGGAAAAAGTAGCCCTTTTTAGAAATTGCGTTAATCTGATTCAGTATCATAAGAAAAACAAAGTGAATCTTTTCGATTTGGTCATAGTAAATGAGTTGTTTTTGTTTTTCCTCCATTTTCTCAAGTTTCGTTTTTAAAACTCAGACTCGCTTCATTTCATAGTTAAGATTCATAACATGCATTAAGATTCTATATGTTAAAAGGTAGCTGAGAAAAGAAGTAGCCTTTTTTTTTATAGCAATTGCATTATAATCTGATTTAAGTGTATTCACTCACAAGCTTGGAACATTCCATTTGATTGATCTGTTATAAGAAAATTTGTGGATCTTTTCGATTTTGTCATGTTAAAGTGTTTTCGTTTATGTGAAAAAACCTCGCAGCGGCTGAGACAGGTGTCTTCTGGGACATTGAAGATTGCGAGATCCCTGATGACCTCAGTGCTGGTTATGTTTTGGAGAAAATCAGATCGAACCTTTCGAGCTCAGGTCATCACGGTACTGTCTCTATCAGGGCGTATGGTGATATGACGGGTCATCAATTTCCCTCTGAAGGAATCAAGCTCAATCATTTCCCGGCAGGTGAATTACTCGAAAACTCTTTCTCTCTGTTAGTTGTTTATGTCTGTATCTTTGATATTGATCTTCCATTGATATATATTGTTTAAGGAGAGAGATACGCCAGACATACCAAGATGTTGGAGGATATTGTTTCTTGGGCAGCTGAACATCCTGAACCGTCAACTTTGATGCTAATCATGGGTGATGACGCTTCAGATGATTTTATCGATGTAGTTAAACTGTTGAAATCAAGGAAAAACTACCGGCTTCTCTTTGCACACGCCTGAGAAATGGCTTTGGGGAAGTCTATGAATTGGAATAGTAGCAGAGCTTAGTTAGTAACTAGGATTCGACGAATAATAACATTACCACTTGTTGGAAACTAAGGTGTTTCAAGTTGAAGAAAATTTTCAGAACAAGTAG